CCCCCCCCCCCCCCCGGGCAGAGGATATTAAACGCCAGCAAAGAAGGCCCAAACCGGGGCCCCGGACCATGTGGTCTCTCGTGCCCCCCTGCCTCTTCGCCGGCGAGGGGGCGGGGGGGGGGCGCGAGACGGGCCTGCACGGACGCCCAGCCAGCCAGGTAGGGTTGTCCCAACCGTCAAGAAAATATCGGCGCGGGGGCCCGAGTGTAGGGTTAGTGCAGGCCGAGGGGCGCCCTTGGCGCGCGGCGCCGCCCACGCTCCGGGGGCACTCCACGCGCGCGCTCGCGCGCGCCACACGCTGGCCCCGCTGACCATCGGCCATCGGCCATTGCTTGGCTGGGGCACCCTCGCCTGGTGCCCTCCTGCCCCTGGCTGGACACTGGCGTCGCGCGCCCAGCCGGACCAACGAGCCCCCCCCCCCCCCTTTCCCCGGCCTGGCCGGGGGGGGGCGGGGGTGGATGGGCCGGCAGGCGACGAGCGCACTCGCCCTCGGGCCCTCGCCCGCGGGCCGGCGAAAACCCGCGCCGGCCAGGGGGGAAAACGCCCGCCGCACGCGGCGAAGGAGACCCGAGCACCCCGGCCACCGCGCAGGGGGGGGGGGGGGGGCGCCGCCACAGGGTCCAGAGGCGGCCACCGCGAGGACCGGAGTGCAGTTCCCAGCCCCGAGCCGCCGGACCCAACCAGGGCCTGTGCTCCGCGCCCGGGGGCTGGCCGGCCATCGGGATGTGCGCGATGTCGGGCCTGGCAGCCGCCCTCCCGCGGGCCCGAGTGCAAGCGGACGCGCCCGCCCGCGCATCCCCCAACAGGGTTTCAGCCGGCCAGCTTTTTGCGCTACACCCCCCCCTCCCGTCCGCGTTGCCGGCCCTCCGGCCCGGCGGAGCTCGGAAAACACAAGCCCGGGTTTTGGCCCGGGAGCGCATGAAAGACACAAGGCCACCAAGCGTGTGCCGCACCACGACAGGAGGACACCGCAACACCCCGCCCCCCCCCCCCACCCACACGACAACCGCCCCACGCCCGAGACTTGTCACAAGAAGCGAAAAGAAGAGCCCCGAGCGTGAAACACACCTCCGCCCGCGCCCGCGCCCGCGCCCGGCCCGGGCCCGGGGGACTCTCGGGCCACGCCACGCCCCCTCCCTCTGGGCTGGGCACTCGGCCCCCCCCCCCCCCCCAGCCCCCCCTGGAAGGCGGGACACAGACACACAAAGCCAGATCCACCGGCAGACGACGGCCACATGGCGGCCGGGGGTGCGTGGCTCCCGCGCGCCCGGAGTCTCCCCCCCGACAGAGCAGTCCAGCGCACGCATCCCCGCCCCCCACATTAACTAATCAACGCCGAAGCGAACAGTTCTCACACGCCGAATCTTATCGCCTCACCAAGATAGCCATAGGTGCTGGTAAACCATCTCTTGGCATCTCCCCGGGGGTAATTCCTCGCCATTTCCCGCGGAGCCGCCTCCCGGAGAGAGACGCCCGCCGGCCGCCCGGACGCTCCTCCGGCAGACCCTCCACGCCCTCGAGCACCCCGAAACCCCAAGAATGCCGACAGTGGTAGCCCTCGGTCGCCCCAGTTCCGCCCACCTCGGAGCCCCATCGGCCAACGCTGTTGGAGACGGCCCAACGGGGGGAGCGCCCCATCCCCGGAGCTCGCAGCGCGCCCCGGAAGCGAGCAAAAACACACCGCAGCGGCTCCGCCGCCCGGAGGACGGCAGTGGCCCCATGCAGGACAGCCAGCTAACAGCCTGGCGGCTTGTTGCCGCGCCGCGCCGCCTTGGGAGTTGACCAAGCCCACCGGATTCTGGTATTGTAGTCCCGGCGCCAAAGCCCGGGGCTCGCCGCGCCTCAGACTCCAGCGTCACCTGGTCGAGAGGAGACGGATCACGCGCCGCCTTGGACGACAATCACGCCCCGATCCGGCTCGTGCACGGCGGTATCTCGGTCGCCCGGCTTTCCCGATCCATCACCGACCGGGCCCAGTGTGTCCGCTCACTTCCGGCCCCCCCCCCTCCTCCCCCGGGCGTCCCCCGGGCTCTTGTGCCTCCGAGGTGCCGGGGAGGAGGCAGGGAGTGAGGGGCCGGTACGGGAAATCCCTTGTGCATTTCGACACCCTTGTCCAAAGATGCGTGTCACTCCCGGCTCGCGATTCCGGCGAGGTCAATCACCAACGGTGCCCCCCCCCCGCCCGGCCCCACTTTGGGAGGGCATTTCCTTTTGACCCACCCCTCTGGCCTGGGTGGCGCATCAGCCCGGACAACCCCCCCCCCTCCCCCTCACCTTTCACACACCCCTCCTTCTCCAACGCCCCTCCTTCGCCCCTTCCTCTTCTTCCTTTTTCTCGGACCCCAGCCCGTGCCCTCCGCCGCCGCGCCCCTTCCCCGCCATGGGTGCCATCTTTTCTCGCCGCTCCAGCGGCTCTCCCTCGTCGCCGAACCCGAATGCCACAATTACCGAGCATGATCGCGCGGTCCTTAACCTGAAGAATCAGCGCGACCGGTTGCAGAAATACGAGCGCCAGGTGCGGGCCTTCATGCCTGGTCCTGGCCTTCGTGCCGTCAGACCCACAACCATCTGCCCTGCCGTCCGATCACTGACAGTGCTCTCTGCTTCCCGGGAACCGGCGTGTCCTGTCTGCTGGGGTGCCTACATACACCCACATGTGCATATCCATTCATGCACACGTAGCTCGAGGCCCTCACTGCGAAGGAGATTGAAGCTGCCAAGACTCTCCTGCAGCAGGGCGACAAGAAGCGTGCTCTCATGTGTATGAAGCGGAAAAAGCTGCGCGAGCGCGATCTCGCCAACATCACCGGACTCCTGGACAATGTTCATCACACGGTGCGCCCGGGCATGTGCACGCACACGCACATATGACTGCGTGTCCTCTTTGCCAGGAGCCCGGCCCCGCCTGCCCGCTCTGCCTCCTTGCGCCTGTCCCGCCTTTGCCTTGCGAATCGCTGACAGCCCTCCATCTCCTCTGTCGCAGATCTCCACCCTGGAATTTGCCAAGGTCCAGGTGGATGTCGTGTCCTCGCTGAAGGATGGCTCCGAGGCACTCAAGCGCCTCAACGACCTGATGAATATCGACAAGGTGGACCTCATCATGGCCGACACAGCCGAGGCCATTGCCTACCAGAATGTACGTGAAACTCGAGGGCACCCTGCCTACTTTGCTGCCATTTGTCCTTTGCCATCCCCCCTTCGAGG